ATTTGTTCGTATTGGTCCTAATTTGCAATATGTTGGGGGAGATGAGGCAATGTCAGAGATAGAAAGGGACAAGCTGTCTTTGCCAGAGATGAAAGGCTTCCTTGGTGATCACATTACCTTCAAAGAAAGTATGAAAATTTACTTTCTGGTGCTTGGTAAAGAATTAGTTGATGGCCTTTTATTTTTGAGTGATGATGCTAGTTGCATGAAGATGTCTTACTACACAACAGATGGTGGAGTGGCTGAGGTTTATGTGGAGTATTTGGGGGAGCAGGATGATGGGAGTGCTAGTGAAGACAACATAAGTAACTTTGAGGATGAAATGGGGAATGCGGCTGATGAAGATAGTGATGTTGCTCCTAATGCGATTATAACTGCAGAAGATGATATTCAGTGCAGTGTTCCAAACTCTCAGTTGACTGAAACAACTGATCATGTGATTGTACCAAATCAGAGAGGAGTGATGACTGAAGTAGTCAATAGCCCTAGAAAACAGAAGGTCGAAAAGAGATAGAGGAGTGATACAAGGCAGAGCTCTCAAGTGAACCTCTCTGAAGATGTCATAACCAGTAGCTCACAGGCACTAGATCCTGCATCACAAGCTGGTAGTGATGCAATCATTAAAGCTGCAAATGAACAACCAACAGTTCAAGAAGTAGAAGGAGAGGCGGAAGCACGAGATAATGATGATGGTGGACTTGTAGATTCAGAGAGTGCTTACGATGATAGCGATTATGTGACAGGTAGTGATGATAGTGGACTGGATGAAGAATATGTTGAACTAAGGGAACAAGCAAAGGCCTTTAAGAAGAAAATTAGAGACTCTAAGAAGTGGGCTCAAAGTAATCCAACAGGTGTTGTTCCAATAGATCTAGTGGCAAATGTGGAAGAAGTGATAGGAGAAGATTATTTTGACTCAGATGATGAACATTACTCATATGATGATCAGACAGATGATGATGGCCATGTTGTAAGGAGGAAGAGCCAATTCATTAGGTATAACCCAAAGACAGAGATTCCTACTTTCAGTTTAGGAATGGCTTTCAGGAGTAAGAACCAGATGAAAAAAACACTAACAAAATATGGATTACTGATAAAAAGAAGTATAAATTTCTTGAAGTCAGAGGATGAAAGGATTAGGGCAAAGTGTGGATGGCCAGGATGTCCATGGCTCATTTATGGTGCAAAAACTAGCAGGTGCTCCAGGTTTCAGATCATTACATATGATGAGAATCATGAATGTGCACCAAACAGGGACAATCACCTAGTAACTGCAAAAGTAATTGCAAGAAGGTATGAGCACATATTAAGAGCCAACCCCACCTGGAAGATTGATAACATTAAGGCAACTGTTCTGAAGGATTTCTTTGCTGATGTATCAACATCAAAGTGCAAGGCTGCAAAGAAAATAGTGTTAGAGAAGCTATTAGAAGGGATGAAAGAAGAATACACCAAGGTCTTTGACTATCAGCTAGAACTTCTCAGGAGCAATCCTGGTAGTACCATACTTATTGGTTTGGACCCTACATGTATGGACCAAAACATCTTTCAAAGGTTCTATGTGTGTTCCAGTGCTATGAAGAAAGGTTTTAAAGCATGTAGAAGGGTTATTGGGCTTGATGGTTGTTTCTTCAAAGGGGCATGTCAAGGTGAACTTCTTTGTGCAATTGGAAGAGATGCTAATAACCAAATGTACCCAATAGCTTGGGCAATAGTGGAGCAAGAAACAACAGAAAGCTGGGAATGGTTTATTGGCCTTCTGATCAAGGACTTGGATATAAATGATCAAGGTGAAGGCTGGGTGTTCATTTCAGATCAACAAAAGGTATAGGTTATCATGTTTTATTTGATAGGTTCCTTTGTCTCGACGATGGATGCATAACTTAGTCATTTACTATCATATTTTATTTGATAGGTTTCGTCGCCTCGACGATGGATGCATGACCTAGTCCTTTACTACCATATTTTATTTGATAGGTTCCGTCACCACGACGACGGATGTATGACCTTGTCCTTTAGTAACGATAATTATGTTTTATTATTTGACAGGGTCTGGTTAGTAGCATGAAAGACTATCTACCAAAGGCACAACACATAATGTGTGCTAGACACATTTATGCTAATTGGAGAAAGAAGTACAGAGAGCATGCTCTGCAAAAGAAGTTTTGGGCTATTGCAAAGGCTGCAAACAGAGAAGACTTCATGTACAGAAAAGCTAAGTTAGCTCAAGACACACCTGAAGGAGCAAGGGATATAATGAGAACAGAGCCTAAGCATTGGGCCAGAGCTTTCTTTCCTGTTGGATCTCTTTTTGACTCAGTAGACAACAACTTATGTGAGTCTTTTAACAACGCGATCATTGAGACCAGATTCTATCCTGTCATCTCTATGTTGGAAAAGGTCAGGCACAAAGTTACACAAAGATTTCAAGAAAACAGGACAAAATCTGAGAAGTGGAATTCTAGTCCAATTTGCCCAAACATCTTTAAAAAGCTGAAGGTGAATATCAAATTGACACAATTTTGTGATGTGCTTTGGAATGGAAAAGAAGGCTTTAAGGTAAAACATGTCAGTGGTAGAGGAAGGAGCTACACTGTCAATTTGGACAAGAGGACATGCTCTTGTGGTTACTTGCAGCTGGCAGGGCTACCTTGTTGCCATGCTGTTAGTGCCATATACAAGAGTGGCAGAACTATAGAAGAATTCATTGACAAGTGTTATTCAGTTCAGCAGTTTAAAAAAATATATGAGCACTGCTTGGAGCCGGTGGAAGGTCGGGAAAGGTGGCCTATTTCTGAAAAACCAAGACCACAAGCTCCAGGTTATGTGAGCATGCCAGGTAGGCCCAGGAAAAATGACAGGAGGAGGGAAGAGGGAGAAGCACCAAAAGGCAGAAAAATGTCGAAGCATGGCATTCAGATTACCTGTAGCTTGTGTGGTCACAAAGGCCACAATAAGACAGGTTGCAACAAAAATCCTGAAAAGGGGAAGAAAAAGAATGCATTCCTGAAGAAATCTGGGAGGAAAATGAAAGCCTCTGAAGTAAATGCGCCTGCATTGCTTCACATACTTATTTACTTTCATTTTAGTAGTTACTCTTGCATTCTTTCACATACTTATGTAGTTTCATTTATTTGACCAACAAGCTAAAACTGATGCTCAGATCAGAGAAAACCAACTAGCTCAAAGCAAAGGAAAAGAACAAGCCCAAGAAGGAACAAGTGGAGGGAAGAGGAAGGCTACCCAAAAACAGAATGTACAAGCCAAGAAATCAAAGAACTGATCATGTGCAAGTCAAGATTTTTTTTCAAAGAACCGATCATGTGCTTGTCTAGTGCTTTCCTGATCATATTAGTATGTTAAAAGAAATCTCATGTTGCAAATGTTGGAACTAGTATTGAACTGCTGGTTATGTACTGTGAATTTAAATTGTTATGTCACATTGGTCAAGCACTGGCTGTTATGTCCAACTGATGGTTGTGATTTTTGTTTCAATAGTCCATCTACTTTATGTGCCAAATTGGTCTGAATGCCATTGCAGACTCTCTTCTTTTACAGTGTGGTTAATTGCAACTACCTCAAATGCAAATTTATATCTTCTGTATCTTGTCAACTTGCACATGAATAAGAAGAACAGATATCACATAGGTAGTAAAATCAGTACCATAAAACTCACTTATCCAACCATTACATCATTTTCCATTACATTGATCCTCTGGTCTAGCTACTAATGTAGCATAAATCCTGCAAATAAACCTGCCACTAACATGATCATGACATAGAACACACTACTACATACTGCATTCCTCTCCAAACTATTGCATCTAGCCCTCAATGCTTGAATTTCTGCATTCTTCACCTGCGGTTCTTGTCTCAGTGCCTCCTCTGCTCCATTGCTCTGCCCCTGTTCCACCCATGGCTGACGATCCACACCCATTCCTCTGATTCAACAGTTCATAGCATCAAGTCAGAAAAGAAGAGGACGAAAATTTTGTACAAGGAAAATATCGCAAGCTTACAACTCATGAAGCAGTAGTATCTTCTTCCAGAGTTATAAAATCCAGTGGCATACATTCGTCGGCTCGTACGGCATGTGTGTCTGTTGATAAGGGACGGGCGACCTTGATGGTGCCCTCCGCCCGCGGCCTCGGCCTGAGCACGACGGCACCGTCGTCGGCGACCTTGATGATGCCCTCCCCCCGCAGCCTCAGCCTGAGTACAACGCGCGGGAGAAGGATGCCATTGTCGACTGTTGTCCCCACGTCCACGTGCCTCCGTCTCCGCCGCCCGTCTGTCGCTGACGGACAAACCCTATCTTCATTCCCCATCCAATTTGGTTGCCTGTCGCTGCAACTTAACTGAAAAAAGAGATGAGCCCATACGCGGTCCGTATGGCATCTAATTACTCCCTAATCTATGCCACGTCACGCACAAACAAGCTTTCAGCAATCCCAACGACACAAACAAGATTTCAGCACTAATCAGCCGGGATAAGCTGGGATCAGAGAAGATGGGGTGCTAATTTCAGGGATTAGGAGGACAGGGTTCTTTTCAGACTTGCCATACGAAGTCAAGGTTTTATTTAGTTTTTTTTTTGACGGGATATAGTACTATAACTTTTGGTATGCGAATGATATTATATTTAGATTGAGTCCCCCATGGTGATGAGTGTGAAAAGTGCGTTTGCGTTTGCGTTTGCGTTTGCTGGGATATCGTATCCACCGTTGGCTGGTCGATCCAACGGTCCAAGCGATGCGAGTCCCCTCTTTCCCTTTGACGCCGGTTTCCCTGCTACTCCTACGTGAGTACAGTAGTAGTATTTTAGATCTGGGCTTCTCCTTCCTTCGCTCGATCCCCAAATCAAATCGCTGTCCTCCTCCACCCAACCCCAACCCCAACCCTAACCCTAGCCGCGCCGCGCCGCGCCGCCACCATCGATCCCCAAATCCCTAATCTCCCTCCACCAGACCCAGACAGACCCCAATCCAAAGCTAGCCGCCATGGCCCCTCCGATGGTTCTCCTCGACCGCGAGATTGAGTTCCGCCCCGACCCCGACCTGCGGGGATTCTGGGGCGATAGAGGGCCACAAACCCGCGATGCCATGACCATGAGCGATCAAGTCATGGAGTACCTGCGGACCTTCAAGGCCCGCGCGGTCGTCCACGATCCGCCGAAACCCTCCTTCCTCGACATACTGGTGCCGCCGCTATCCGACCCGCTCCCGCCGCCATACATGGGCCTGGACTCGGGCCGCATCTCCAGCACGGACAAGAACCTGGTCGCCCTCTACGCCGGCGGGTACCGCCCAGGCTCTAGTTTGCCCGGAGGCTATCTCATCTACGACGCCTGCAACGACTCCCTCTCCGTCATCCCCCGGCTCCCCGACGACGACTCCCAGAAAGCCTTGGGGCACCAGTCGGCAGTCGTCATGTGCGACTCCCAAGGCCAAGGGGACGGCTACCTTCTCGCCGAGCTCGTGGTTCCAGGACTGTCCCGAGCCGAGGTCTGGCTGTGGAAGTCATCCGCCTCAGAATGGGCCTTGCTGTCCGGGAGCCATCCCCTTCCATCCAGATCCAGCAGCTTCTCCGTTGACTCGTGCTTCTCTTATCGGGGCTCTACCCTTTGCTGGGTGGATCTCTTCCAGGGCATCTTGCTCTGTCATCTCAACCAAGACTACTGCAACAGCAAGTTCAGCTTTATTCACTTGCCACCAGATTGTCCAACCTATGATGTGGACAACCCCGACTATCCAGACAGCGCCCGCTCAGAGGAGTCCCGTTCTGTCGCCTGTGTTTGTGACCACATCAAGCTCATCGCCTTGGATGAATGTGGATTGGAACTCATCGTCTGGACTCAGTCGCCTCAACTCTCAGGCTGGACCAGAACCTCCAAGTACAATGTTGAACAAATCTGGGCAAACGTCAACTACATGTCTGCTGGTTTGACCAAGCTTGCTCTGTCGCTCCCTGTCCTGAGCATCCATCAAGACGATGTTGTCTTCTTAGTCGTAAATGATGACTTGGTGGTGGACCGTCGACTAGTGCGTGAAATCCAGTATTTGCTTCGTGTCGACATGAAGAATAACCATGTCCAGGTCTATCCACAGCCTACATGGTCTATTTATTCCCAGCTCTTGGCCAGTGAGTTCAGTGTGTACCGACGACAGGATCACCCGGTACTACCACCACCACCACCACCAAGCATACTTTCGTTTGCATACTACTGTCATTTTATTTATATATGTTCACTGTCACTGAATATGCTTTCATTTGCAGGCATGCAACTGTATTAAAATTCCAATGCTTGTTTATCGCATCCAGTTTGCTTCATACTCCCTCCGTAAACTAACATTTTAGTGATCTAAACACTCTTATATTAGTTTACAGAGGGACTACTTGTTAATTGAAATCAAGATATTTGGCCACCTCCCCATGTTGTAGAGCACATGTCTGATATTGATGCTCATCCACAGTCATGAGTCTGAAATCATTTTTTACTACAAAATTACTCTGCCCCCTTGTCATATTAGACTTCACATCATAATGATACTATTTTGCATGTTTATGGCTGTTTTTTTTCTTGCTTGCTTGATAGAGATAGTGTTATCATTAGCTTCACCTCTCCACTTTAAGATTTGATGACCAGGGCAGACATTCAGTGAATATAGCAGGGTACTTGTAGTTTGTTTCTGAACTTGGAATTGCATGAGTCCAGTGCATTCAAAGATGCACATAGCAGATGAAACATAATTTCAAACTAGTAGAGGTGAACACTGAGAACTGTCTGAATGAAAGATGTGAAAAGTAAAAAAAAATGTACCTTTGACACATATAGCTGTTTCAACAATTTTAATTCAGAGCATCCTGGACTGACCCTAGACATTTAGAGCATGTTGGACTCATCTTAGACATGGTGTTTAGTGTTGCCCAATTAATTAATATCGCTGCATATGTACTCAGCCTTGCACTTATTCCTTTTTAAAAATTGTTTTTGGGTAATTATAACCTGACATATGGTCATACTAAAAGTATTACATTTGACTGACATCTCTGTTTTTTTTTATGCCAGAGAGAGATAGAAGCAAGCGAGTTTGGTAAAAAGTGGAAAGAGGATGAAGATTTGAGATGTTGGTAACATGACATGTGGAACCGCCACTTAGGTCCACCACTGGAGACATTTAATGTTGTCATTATCAGATGTTAGTAGTTATAAACTGAATGGTGGGTACTTTGTGTTTTTACTCATGGCTTTATGTCTCCTGAGTGGCTTGTTTTAGATTTGTAATAACTGGTAATGGCATGTTTATTGTTGAGATTGTGTTGATTCTGGCTACATGCATCATTGTCATTTTCCTGCAGGAAAAATCCTACTGGTTTGTTTTACGTCTGGTTGATTTAAAAGTGCAATATTAGATGTTTGGAACTAATTGATGCCTCCTTGCTCTGCTGTTTGCTTGCCCAAAAGAAGATACATTCCCGATTTTAAAAGCACTTGATTTGTAAACTTCTGTGTTGCTAGACCTGACGGATTGGGTCTTGGTGCCCCCTTTGTTATACTCCCTCCGTCCGGAATTACTTGTTGCATAAATGGATAGAAATGGACGTATCTAGAACTAAAATAAGTCTAGATACATCCACTTCGCGGACAAGTATTTCTGGACAGAGGGAGTATTCCTTTGGTGGCAAGGCATGGACCATTTGAACTAGGGATGAAGCATTGTTAAACTGGTATATGGTGAGCCGCCCGTGCATGTATCTCTTGTTCATTTTTGAGTTTCGACATACGGGCAGCATGCAATTTAAGGAAGAAACGACCAGAATGGTTTTGGTGGTTGTAATTTGTTGAGCATGCCTTCTTATATATATATATATATATATATATATATATATATATATAGAGAGAGAGAGAGAGAGAGAGAGAGAGAGAGAGAGAACTACGGCGGGCAAAGACGGTCTGAACTCATTTTATTGAATTTTGGTTTAACAGAGAGTATTTACAAAGAAGGCGAAGGGAGAAAGAGAGAAAAAAAACATTTTATTTAACCAACATAGTTTGGAATATAATTTAACACCTAGAATGCAATCTGTACGAACCCCATGCCCCACTTGGCACCTTTCGTCACCAACTCCTACTCTAGCTAACTTATGCACGATAATATTAGCAGAACGTCATACCTGCGAGACTTTAAACTCTGCTAATTCGTTGACAGATTTGATGTCCTCTACCCAAGGCCCCACCGCTGATAGATTCTTGCCTGAATTTTGAGCATGCCTTTTCTTAAAAGGAAAAAGGTCAAATGAAACAAGTTGTTTTCAAACTCTCTTCGTCGGCAGGGTGTAACAGGCTTGTCGTTAATTCCGACAGCCTAGAACTAGTTGATGATTGTTACCACTTGGCATGTGAGTTTAGTTCAATTCGGTTTGAATTATGTCCTAGAGAAGCAAACGTTGTTGCTCATGAATTAGCTAGTGTAGCTAGATCTAAATTCTGCAGTGAGTGGATTGAAATGGCTCCTAATGAGCTTCTTCCTCTTTTACTTAAAGATGTACTCCCTCTGTAAAGAAATATAAGAGCATTTAGATCACTATTTTAGTGTTCTAAACACTCTTATATTTCTTTATGGAGGGAGTAAGTGTTATCACCAATGAATAAAGAGAAGAGGGAACTTTAGTTGTCAAAAAAAAACAATTTGTTTTCAAACTGAAAGTATGAAAGGAAAAAATGCAGCAACTTTCACTTAATCGTGAATTTGCAGGCATGTCCACATATATATACATATACTCATAAGAGGACTCAACCAAAGCCACACCACGCATCGACTAGCCTTGTGCGCGCGTGCCCAGCACAAGGACGGCACATGTATCGACCTATATAACATAAAACAAAAACAAACAAACAAACAAACTCGATCGTGGCTGATATAACAACTGAAGAATCCTGGAGTTTGTGTATCAGGCTACTTATATCCAACAACTCCTCAAGTAGTACAAATTATTTCTACTTCTTCACTTCATGTTAGGCACACTCGGCCAGGGTTACAAGACAGACAGGCATTACACGACTCATGATTAGACAGACAATCTTAACAGCACTTTGTCTGACAGCAGTCAAACAGCTTCCGTTCCCAGGTCACCGACGACTCTTGATGTCAATCACGTTGTTCCCTAGCATGCAAATAATCAATGGTACGAGGTACATGCATCAGTCAACTTCCAAGATTGCTTACACAAAAATTAGTATAAACCACCAAGTTCATAGTAACTCACATCCTAACCACTTGGTCAATAAAGGACTGTATCAGTGCAGGATATTGATTCTTTGAGTTTTTCAAAGTCACAAGAATGGTAAACAGGAATCGAGGTATGAAATTTCTAGTCTCCATCACCAGCGAGAAGGCCGCATCAAGCTGCTCTATAGAGGCCCACTGCATCAATCAAAACTAGTTTGTATCATACTTAGGTGCCATAAAAATATATATACAAGGCAGACTGTATGTACTGTACACAGAGAGCAGGAAGATGATTAAACACGAATCTTACCTTATGATGTTTGAAAAAGTTGTTGGAGAACCTCAGAAAGCTAACCCCATTGTCCACATACGGAACACAAAGCTTCCCAGCTCTATTGCGCCACGAATGGAAAAGATAAGTATGCTTCATTGCTGGAATTTTCTTCACGATATGCCCCCACACAATCTGATCAAGATTAGCTAGCAAGACGGTCACGACGGCTGGATCAAGTCGATCAATCAGCTGAACCAAACCTTCACTGATATGTGTCCTCTCAAAATGAGACAACAACGACGGGTGATTCGTCACCCATGCAATGACGGACTCACTTCGGTAGTCCACAACAGGACCATATCTTAGGAAGTAAACCAATTGTTGGAAATGCATCGGGTAGCAATTTTTGACGTGATCTTTGAAAGAATCCTCAAGTATTCTGCCAATTGCACCATAGTCTGATTTAGCAGAATGTTCACTAAATGTTTCTGGGGCAGAATCAATGTGCACATTCCCGTCGGGGTCAAAGAGGATATTCTTAGAAGTGATGTTACCTCCGTAGGAAGTCCCACTATAATGTTTTCTGCACAGCTGAATCAGCACTTTCCTAGCTTGAAATTGCATATGCTCTGCCAAGAACTTCACCAGCACTGTAACTTGCATGGCCGAGCGGCCCGGGCGTGGGAGAACTAAGTCCCCTGCTGGCAATGACACCGTCTCGTCGAGTTGCTGAGCTCTGATTATGTCATCCCATGTTTCGTAACCAGCACTGGAAAACAAACAAAATCAATGCTTTTCAAGTACACAAGAAACCAAAAGTATTGGAAAAAAACTAGTTAAGCCATAATAGAAGCCTAGAACTGCCTCAAAAATGTTTAAAATGTGATCTAGCATGGCACATTTAATATCCTCATACTTTAATATCCTTAGGTATCAGGAAGAGAAAAATAATGACCGTTTTGACACTCATGTTGGGGAACGTTGCAGAAAACAAAAATTTTCCTACTCGTTTCACCAAGATCATCTAGGAGTTCATCTAGCAACGAGTGATTAGATGCATCTACATACCTTTGTAGATCGCGAGCGGAAGCGTTCAAAAGAACGGTGATGATGTAGTCGTACTCGACGTGATCCAAATCACCGATGACCAGCGCCGAACGGACGGCACCTCCGCGTTCAACACACGTACGGGACGGGAGACGTCTCCTCCTTCTTGATCCAGCAAGGGGGAAGGAGAGGT